TATGCCACATGCAATAATACCATAATTAAAATACAAAATTTATAACAGACTGACATAATATCAGTCATAACTTTTGAAATACCACAAATTTAGGTAACAATCAACAAACCACAGACATATATGTACTCATCCACATGAATTACTACAAGGAAATGCTATCCTTAGATCTGCAACATTCAAAATATTCATCCAAAGTATAAAATGAATGAGAAATCAAGAAATCCTTCAAAGCAATTTTAAAATCTTTACAATTAGTGAACAACTGCTTTAGATATAAGGGTAAGCTATTAAACAATCTGATACCCATACAGTATGATCCCTTCAGGTATAGTGATAGATGAACTATAGGTTGATAAAAATTAAGATTAAAACAATGTCTTGTATTTCTACTATGTATATCAGTTGTAAACTGATATAAATTTATATTATCAACCACAAAGCATAATAAAGAGTAAATATACTGAGACTGAAGAGGAAGAATTTTCAATGTCACGAATAGCTGCCTACAAGAGTTCCTGTAACCAGTACCTGTGATTATTCTAAGTACTCTTTTCTGTACACGAAAAACACTTATAGCATATGATGAATTACCCCAAAATACAATACCAAATTTCATGAGTGAATGAAAATAAGCATAGTACACCGTTACTAATGTTGCCTGATTAACATATGGCTTCAAGGCTCTAATAGTAAAGCAAGCAGTGTTGAGTTTGGAAAGTAGTTGGTCAATATGTTTCTTCCATGACAGAGTATTTACAATATTAATACCCAGAAATTTAGTAGATCTTGTACTCAAAATATTCTTATTTCCATTGTTAATACTGATGGAATTGCACTGCTCCTCTATGTTTTTGGCTATAAATTTAATAAAATGCGTTTTCGAGAGATTTAGGGATAATAGGTTTGCATTGAACCATGTAATTAAAATATTGGAGACTTCCTTAAGTCTGTCTAGAAGAGTAAACGGGTCAAATTCCTTGATAATTACACTGGTATCATCCGCAAAGAGAATAGGGGTGGAAACCTTATTTAGGATTAACGGAAGATCATTGATATAAACTAGAAAAAGCAAGGGCCCAAGAATGGAACCCTGGGGGACTCCATGAGAAATTTCACCCCAGTTGGAATAAGTACTTGAGCTAGAATGTTTTGATTGTAATCTTATTCTTTGAAACCTACCATTCAAATAAGATGCTATTAATTTGTGAAGTGGGCCAGATATACCATAAAATTCCAATTTAGATAACAATATCCCATGGTTAACACAATCGATAATGAAAGGAAGAGTGTTTTAGATGTTAAATTTTGAACTGGGTGCAGTGTGACAGCGACGTGAGTGTTATACACCTGATGATGGCCGTCTGAGGCCGAAACATGTAGTGTAGGGAGCAAGATCAAAGACACAGAATATATTGTTTGCACTTGAGACGGAGTTTATATCATTTATCGTATGGAGTGCAACAGGATGCTTAAATATAATATTGGTTCTTATGTTCCACCGCTCAAACATCTCATTAGTACTGAGACCTTGCTGCACCTTATGAGAACATAACCAATTTTATGGTCTATATACAGGTGTCAGCAGCAAAGAGACCTAGATAGACACCAGGTGTTTGAAGCATATGATTTGTATGTATGCTTTACAATGTGTGGGACAAGACAAAGCCTTCTGGCACCCCTGCTTACATATTCCTTCATGTAGAGATTTCACCTATGACCAAAACTCTGAATTTTCTCTGATAAAGAAAAGGAACTTGATTAGATTGATCAAAAATTTTAAGTCTGATAAATTAAATATCAAGCCAAGGTGCCATATTGTATCAAAGGCTTTTTCATTATCCAAGAATAATGCAGCCATAGATAGGTTGTTCAAATTTAAGGTGATGTGGTCCATAAGCCTCATACTTTGAAGTGTTTTGCTGTGATGGGCGTGGAAACCAAACTGGCTTGCATTAAGCAGGCCTCTTCAGTGTGCCTTTGGACTACTTTCAGAATAATTTTTTCAAATAATTTGCTTGTTGTAGACGAGGCTAACCCTTTCAAGGCTTTGAAAAATGGGATTTAAATAAATATGTCAGGCATACCAATGATCTTCATGGAAGATTCCTTAGACATTTATTTGAAATACCAGCAGCTCCACAAACCTTTCACAATTTCAGTGAATTTACAAATTTATATATATCACAAGGCCGTACTTTTCCCAATGGGGTGTCATCTGCAGATGCGAGCAGAGATTGGACTCTAATCTTCACCTGTCACTCGTGGTTTTTGTCACAGGTCATGAAATGTGAACAAGTTTTCTAAAGAATTCAATCACATTGGCTTTTTCATTCAGGTGATACATTATTCCTAAGGTTCACAAATAGTGGTTGGTGCCTTTGCCCAATCGCTTTTGATGAGTGATTTCCCAGTAGGCCACACAGTTTGAGGTGTGACTTCAGTTTCCTACATGTATTTCCCACCATCCACTTCTAGGTTCGCTATTTTGCCTTAAGCCATTATGTCACAATATATGTTACTCAGAATATTTAGGCTTGTAACGGCCCACAGACCAGATTGCTGTACTTCCAAAGTGTTTGTAGCAAGCTAGACATTATTCTTTGCAGTGTAACAGATAATTTTGCTTTGTAGGGCTCTGACATTGTTGAACTGCTGCTTGATCTATCAAGCATTGCCGGAGCTCAAGATACAAATGAAACATTTCTTTGCATTCTCAATACAGTTGCTGATGTTGCAGGTGAGTATAGTTAATTTTCCATTCCAATTGTGTATTAAATAATTGTGAATCCATTGTTCTATCTAAAAGTAAAAGTAAAGCTATCCCTATACCAGGCTATGAAGGTCCATAGGGTTGTGAGACGAGGGTCCCACATTATCTACACAATCGGCTCTTAAGATGGTGGTAAGGTTGTCAGCCTTGCGCACCGGCTGCACTCTACTCCCCAGGAAAATTATTTAATTAATTCCTGGTACTCATTTCTGTTAGAGGCTGAGTCAACCCCAGTTCCGTAGTACGGCTGGAAGGATTAGGTCAGTTGAAAAAAATCCAGTCACCTCATTGGGACATGAACCTGTGACCTTCCAGCTTGTAGCATAGCCCCTCAACCAATTATGCTACTAGTAGTTACTATAGAATTCTGATGATGGTGTATAACACACAGAGATATTGGGTTTTCGGACTTCATCCATCGTTCTGGTTTTTAAGATAGCTAAGAAAAAACACGATGTTTCGGAAACTGGATCTGTTTCCGTCCTCAGGTGAGGTAAAACACCTATTCTGTTGGGTCCCTTAGAAAGAGCTAGCCTCCGAAACGTCATGTTTTTTCTTAGTTATCTTAAAAAACAGGACGATTGATAAAGTCCGATAACCCAATATCTCTGTGAATTACGCTACTGCGTACCCCTCTATCAAAAATGAACTTTCTAACTGCAAAGCTTCTGGAATGTTATCAGTCACATAACTGATGTTCTACTTCGCTTTTGCAGTGTTTTAGGATTATTAATATTGACCTAATCTTTCAGATATTCCTACAGCTGGGAAGCATGAGGAAGCTCGTGGGCTTCAATAATAATGTGATCTTCATAGAATTATTTTAAATGACCCACATTCATAGCGGATTTATGTGCTATATTAGTTTCCTGCCAAAACCATGCTTCTTCAATTTCCTAGAATTTCATGTTAAAGATTGAGGATCTATGCAGTATGTGCTATTCTGTATGTCTAATCAGAAAAATTAAACTAGGGTTCATAGGTGTCAAGGCATGTTTCAGAGAATGTGCTATCGCAGAACACTGTTCAGGTCCTTGGTCATAATTTATGAGTAACAAATTTAGTCTAAGGATGTAGTTTCATAGACTTTTAGCTTATGTTTTGCACATATTTGAACAAGATGTCCTTTTCATTCTTAGTATAGTGCTGTATTTTTCAGGACCTTGAATTTTGCCTTTTCCTCACAAACAGGACTCTTCCAGAATGTGTTCCATAGTAAACAGTTGTTGAATTGAATGTGTTGTAGCATCAGGAAAATTCAGTTGGTACCTTTTCAGTTCTTACATATGTAGGTCATAGTTTTAAAGTAGTACTGGGCATCCTCAGTGCTGATGTCTCTGTGAACTACTGAATGTTTGTTCTACATATAATATAATATCTGAATTAGAAAATAATTTTGAAGTCATACTTCAGTAAAATGCACATATTTACCAGAGTCATATTTGCTGCTTGGAATACTTCATTGAGTTTGATATTCAAAGTCCATGTGTTTATCGTCCATCAATATTGTAACACTTGTTTATTCACTGCTTAATTTTAATTTTAGTTTAACATTATGCATTATAAATATTGCAATATTGATGAACGATAAATACATGGACGTTGAGGTTGCATTATAGACGGATGATAAATACATGGACGTTAAGTTAAACAATTGCAACAGGATGCTGAAATAACAGAATTGATATTCAGCCATTACGGGGAGAGGGAATTGTGCAGTAAGTATCACATTTCATTAATTAGATTAGATCAGTTTGGTGTAATAACAATAAAACTGCCACTGCAGAAGGATTTGCTTGTTAATGGATTAGCTGCCACTGAAAATAACATTCAAATGTTTAGAGTAAAGAATAGGGTTTCTGGTGATATTTGTGTTGCCATTCGAAGGTCATTTGAGGAGGTGTTATGGGGGTGTTCTCTCTGCAACTGCATTTACTCCCAAGGAGCCTTGATATTTCCAGCAGACAATTCAATAGAAGGACTTAGAAGTCAAAGGATTAAATATTCATGATATTGAAAAATGTTCCAAGTAAAAGTTACAGATCTTGGATTAATTTGTACATCATTTACAAACATTTGTATGAGTCGTTTTTGAGAATTAGCTGAACTGCCATGTAGATGCTTCCCCTGCATGTCAAATTTCATCAAAGTTTGTTAGTTTATAGATGAATGAACAACCAGCCCCCTTCATGTGCATTACTTCTGTGTATTTTGTGAAAAGAATGTGTAAGACTAACTGCATTGTTTCTACTTGCCTTACTTTATATACATCCATATGTGCGCTTAAGGTCAAAAATAAAATGTAACTGCAGTGCAAAACTGAGTAAGTACAATATGTGATGAAATTAACTTGGCTACAATCTGTAAGAAACAAGTTCTTTATTAACCTTTAAGAGCCGAGCGACGCCATATGGTGTCATGAAAATAAAGTCAAGGGGATGAATGACGCCATATGTCGTCGTGCAGTCCACGCGTGCGGCTGGCTTATTAAAATCTAGTTTTAAGTTATAAATTCTTTTTCTACTTACATGATTTTTGGTCACCAGCTTTATAAGTTGTCTCTCTTCCCACCTGCGTCATCTAACGGAATGTTGGCTTCGTGTGGAAATCTTGGAAACATCCGGAAATGCAGAGTCCCACATCACACTTCACGCACTTTATCTGGACGGTTCTTCGTTTCCCACACGAAGAGCACACTCGACACCTCAATTTCGAAGTCGAGGAAGTCGGCCAGTGCTGTTGTTTGGCCTCCTCTATTCGAAATGACCCCGATGAAACGGCAGGGGTTCGACCCCTGGGCCGTTGAGGGCGAAGTGGACCCCTTCCAGCATGTTCCACACAAGAGCGACACAAAATTCTCTGTGTGACAACAGGCTGTAACTGTTCAGATCCAGGAGATGGAAAAATAGTTTATTTGTCCATTTCCAGGTTCGACGACAGATGCTATAACTGTTTGCTACAGTTTGCCCACAGCTCCACCTGAATAATTATTCACACTCCTCTTGCCATGCTGGTGTGGTGGTCCCCAGGTTGCCGACGAAGATGATGGTTCTTCATCGACTTCAATTTCTGATTCAGTTTCTTCCTCGCAACTCTCAGAGTCATCGGCACAACAGTCTGAATCGGTGTCATTTGTAAACTGATTCTCAATTTCAGCGTCCTCCAAATACGAGGCCATGTTGGACAGCTAAACACAACGCTAGCCTTGAACGTTCTGACACTGCTCGGCTATATTTCAAAACAGACTACTTCTTGTTTGTCTATACGAGATAATACACAGTCAGTGTTTCTGCGAACGATTAGACATCGCCCACACTCGTGCTTACCGAAAGGAACCTACAAACTGGAGAATGAGGAACGCAAGCATAAACTTCTGCTCCTGTTGCCACATAATAAATAGTTAGAAAATGATGTCAGCAGCAGGCATTCAGACTGCAGAAACGTTTTGTGCAGGAACTGTATGCATTTTTGTGCACAGACGTTCGAAATTGAGGGAAAAATTATTTTTGGCATCAGTGTAAAAATTTTAAAGAGATTTTAAAACCGATAAATTACAATAACTGATTCTATATTCTTTCTAGATAAAAGCAGCGTTTATTTCGTTCGTTTATCACAAAAATTGTAGAAATCACAGCATTTTGAGTAACATGATTACAATTTTTATTACTCTACAATGACGGGCATTTAAATTAAATCTGTCCTGCTGCCACTACCGAAATTTAAATGGCCGTCTCTAAAAGGTTAAATGAAGATGGTTGTGATGACAACTGGGGACAGCAACAGTAATCTGTCTTGTGTTCAAGTAACCAAAACATTATGACTTACGTAGGATCCAAATTGAAAGATTCCCCTTATTTTGCTATACTGATTGCTGTAGTAATTTATTTTAGTGATAATTATATCTTCTTAAGCATAAAAAGCGACTTTGAGACTGATAGCTTCAGCAACCTTTATGGCTACATTTTGTGTTCCAGAAATTGTATTCTGCCCTTTTCTATTCCCCACATTAAGGGACCTGTCTTCCTACATAAGTGTTCCTGTACTATGATTTTTGGCATCTTGATTGGTATTGTCATAGATTCAATATAATTGTAAATTGTTTGTGCATCAGGAATATCGGTAACAACAGGTTTATCATCAGAAACATAATTACTGGTTTCAGAATCAGAAAACATAAATTTAGAATGGCTTCAGCATTCACACCTGTTAAATGATATTTACTTGTTGACACCACGTCTGCTAACGCAGATTTGCAAGTGGCAGGTTTACAAGATTATTTGCCCCCTGAACAATTGGTAAATCTGGTTGATAACCTAAAAATTGGCTCTGTCTTTATTGATATGCAGGCAGAATTCATGCAGTTCAAATAGATATCTGTGAGATGGAAGCACAAAGCAGGAGCTATTATTGACATGTCAGCTTGGCATTGTACAGCAACAGATGACTGTGTAGCAATGCATGGCACTCCATGCTGGCAGAATAAATCACAACTGATGTTGGGAATAATGGTACAGACACTGTGCAGGGTAGTTGAAGGGATGTGGAAAGTTGCTATTTTGGCAGACAGAAAATGTAATGTTTTCATGTTCTTTATTTGCAGGGCTTATTAGATGATGAAGGAAAGCCACAGCATTTGGCTGGTATAATCACTCATCTTCACTACCACGAACCAGGAAATTTGGCATTTGTGTATCTCTTGAGAAGTGGGGCTCTGAGGGAGCTGTGTACACCAGAGAAAGACGGTACAATCTCCAAGGCGACACAAATGAATTTGGTTCTTGTGCTGAGCTACTTGTTTGCTCCTCTTGTTCTCCACAGGAGGGCACACAATGTTAAATACAATAACTCAAAAGTGGTGCTGCCACCTCTTCCACCAAAAATTAAGAAGGTAACTGAATGCATAATTAGGATATTACTGTTTGGTTCTCGTAAAGTTTTAGTCGTGTAATTGTAGACAGTTCTTTCTTGAGATGATAACTGCAATATATTTTCCTGTATTATTGTAGTGGATGTTAAGGTCATTTATGACACAAGCTTTTGTGAACTTATCGTCTGTTTGAATGTTGTGATCGCTTATGACATAAACAATAAACATTTCTGATTGCAGCTAGAAATTAAAGCATACGCATATGTGCTTGTGTGTTTGTTGCATTGTAGGCATTCCAAAAATCTCTTAGCAGTGTGAAATGTAATGGGATGGGAAGGAATATGGAGCAGATGTCTAGAGAGGGGGGTCTACATCCAAAATTTTGTTAGAATGATGTCAAAAATTTAATATGTTGTAGCCACTAAGACTTAGGAAACTGGGGAAAAAAATAACGAAATTATTTACAAGTAAATCATATTTGAGAATTTCTAATTAAGTTGAAAAGTATTTGTGAGAAGGAATAGTCACAGAAGTCACATAAACCATGATGTTGTGCTCTCAGAGGCAGCTGTGCATTGAAGCATGTGCATAACAAGTGAAAACGTCTTAAGATGTTTTTGGAGAAAGAGAGGTACTCGTAATTGAACTTGACACCTTCTTGAAAGGGTAAACCCTAAATCATGGTTTCAAATTAATTAATCGTACTCACATTATTTACATGCCTCTATTTTTAGATGAGGAATTTTGTAATATATTTTTTCTCATACTCTTACAAATACTTGGTATGTACAAATATAAGTAATTATGTAATTTGTGACTGTACATATTGAGAGCCCCCCCTGATTTATGTATTATTAGTTCAAGGAGACGTGTTGAGGCTTCTGAAGTGATTGATACTTGTTTTTATGTTTTCACCAAGTCATGATGTTCATAGGTAAATATCTGGGCATGGAGGCTTAGGACAGAAGTCAAAGAGGGAGGTTAGAAAGCACTTGGTGTAGAGGTCTTGATCATTGGCATCCATGTACTTTTTGCCACATGTAGATATTACTAGCCTGTAGGGCTGACTGACTATGGTCAAAATAATCATGGATTCTCGTTACTTTTTAGATCTTATATTTGTTGGCAGCATAGTGCTTTTTCTTATAGATAAAAAGTGAACAAATTTTAGATTAAATACAATCAGTTTTTAGATTAGTCACAGCACGCCTGTGAGAACTGGAGCTACTCATTCAGAATACACGGTGTGTTTAATTTACATCTACAGACACCATTATGCATTTCCTTGAAGATAAAAAGTATCCTTGATTAAATTTCAGCTGGCACATATTTTTGTGTAATATGCAGTGAGACAACTTAGTTGTGTTTTCCATGAAAATGTTGTGGGTCATAAAACCCATGATGACTCCATAGGTATTTATACATATCTGTACAATATTGCTACATCACATTTTCTATGTATGTACTTGGGCTTCTATTAAGAAATGACGTTACGAGCATCCAGCTGGTAAAGTATGTGGTCATTGCTGCTAACCTACCCATTTAAAAATACCTGGATTTCTGATCCTCCCACATTTCTGGTTGAGTACATGTACGTATGCTTAATTAGCAACCAACAAACTGCAGTATATTACAATAAGACCTCAAGTTCTCAAGTAGGGCCCAGCTCCATGAAGTAACTGCAAAAATATTTAATTATGTTGTCATAATTTATGTTTTTGGGTTTTTGAGAATTTTGGCAGATTTTTCAAAGATTTTTTCAAGTATGTTTGAAATGAGGAAAGTGTGAAGCCTTCTATAGATTTGTATCCTTATCCCTATCTTGTACAATTCTTTTGTGTATGTAACATCTATTTTCTTCCACTCCTTAGTAATTGTTTTTGTTTAATCTGTGAATCCACAGGTATTGGAAATGTACAATGAGGAAGTCATGTGCATATATGACATTTACTTCAAGTGTGTGGCTGAAGGTATTGCTAATAACCTGGGAGAAGATGTTACTCTTCCAATGTCAGGAGTCCGTATTATGCCGAGAGAGGCTTTTGTAGCAAGTACTGAAGGTAAATGTCTTAAACATGTAGTGTTTCTCATTATTAAAATTTTAGTGTAGTGTGTGAAGGAATATGTTGATCCTATGCAATTTAGCAAGTGGATTGACATAACGCAACAAATGCAAGTAAAATGTTCTTTCTCTTTATCCTGCCTCTACAAAGAGAGCCTGCAGCTGCACCCAAAATACCTGCTGCCACAGTATGCAAAATTTGTAATAATGTGCTGTCCTTTCCGTTCATTTTGCAGAAAGTGCTGACATTACATATCATAAAAATTTTAAGCTAGCGGCAGGGCACAACAGCGGTCACTCACACTATGGCCCTTTCCAAGTTCTTTGCAAAGGGATTTGCTTAGTTACAAATATTTATAGTTGGAATCCCTCGCTTTTTATGACATATTGTTGCTCAATAAAACTCCATGTGTCTTCAGTTTCTTGCCCTTGACCGTACAGACAGATACAGTTGATGAAAGGTTCTCAGCGTGAAAAGCTCAGTTCTCTGTTCTACTAGAGTGATTCATTTCGTCACAATGCCTAAAGCAAAGCCATCTGAATTATGTAACTTAAAGCAGATTGTAGCTGAATATGGAGGTGATATATTTTCAACTGATGGTAACATTTTATACTGTAAGATGTGTGACACAAAATTAGCGGCAGAATAAAGATTCATGGGATAACAACATATCAGCTGCAACAATCATATATGAGCAGTGCAAATTTCGAACAAAAGAAATCTGTGCAAATGTTACTGCAACAGTGTTCATCTGAAGGCGGAAATAAGTCATCGGATTTTTTCACAGATCTGTGTGATGTTTTGGTGTCTGCAAATATTCCATTTTGGTCTGTGAACAATGAAAACCCGAAAAATTTTCTGGAAGTAAATTGTGGTTGTTCTATCCCGGATGAATCCACCCTCAGGAAAAATACCTTTCCAAGTGCTACAACAATATCCTGGAAATGATTAGGAATGAAGTGCATGGGAAGGAGACTTTTGTTTCTATTGATGAGACCTGCGATACAGAGGCTGGCTACATGGCCAATATCATCATTGGAACCTTGGAAGTTGATGGACCAGGTGAAGTGTTTCTGCTTACGAGTGAGCTGCTGGAATCTGTTAATCATTCCACAATTTGTGAACTCTTTGACCAGTCGATGTTTCTACTGTGGCCAGAGGGTATACAATATGACCTCATCTTGCTTTTTGTGACCAGTGCGGCCCCATGTGTTTTACAAGCAGGCAAGTCAATAAAATCATTTTATATGAAATTGGTGCACATTACTTGTCTAGCAAATGCACTGCATATAGTGACGGAGGAAGTGAGATCAAGATTTCCTCAAGCGGATGCTCTCATATCGTGGACGAAGAAGATTTTCGTCAAGGCTCCAGCTCGTAAAATACAATTCAAATTTATGGTTCGTGGTGTTCCACTGGCCCCAGAACCCGTCATTACAAGGTAGGCAACTTGGATTGATGCTATAGAAAAACATTGTATATTCAATGAAGACAGAAGATGTGAGGGCAATTGAAGCTGCTCAGGAACAGTTGTCATGCAGTGAAATGGAAAGACAGCTGGCCTTCATAAAGTCAAATTTCTGTTTCTTGACGGAAGGAATCAAATGCTTACAGGAGAAAGGAGCCATGCTAGAACATTCCCTCGCTCTCGTGAAAAAAATAGCCAGTGATTTGGAGACAGTGTCAGGGGATATTGGTAAAATGGTGTCAAGAAAAATGAAAAATGTCCTATATAAAAACTCATGTTATGAACATTATGAAGCATTTCACAAATTCTGACAGGAGAGTCCTCCAAGACTTTCAGTATCGAAGAAGAACTTATTGCTAGTGATTTCTTCATTTAAAGTACACTCCCATTGCGTCTGCAGATGTGGAAAGGAGTTTCTCCAAGTACAAGAATGTGCTGTCAGACAATAGACGCTCACTTACCTTTGAGAATCTCTGCATTTCACTGTCATCCATTGATTTATTGCAGTTCGGAATGAGATGACATTTAAATATTGAAATATATACACATATGTACATTCGATAAGCATTCTTACATGGTAGAACAAACAGTATTAAAACATTTAGCTTCAAATTCAATCATATATTGCTTAATTTTCAACATAAAAACAAGGATGAACTTAAAAGAGTAACGTTGAGTTCGCAGTGTTAATAAAGTTTAATAATACATTTTAAAACAATTAGTAGATTTTCTATGACATGATACATTTTAGGTTGTTTTATTTAACTTTTAGGTAATTTTTCTGGATTTTTATCGTCATTTTTTACATATTTTTATGTCATTAAAATCTGGGCCTAGGTCATAACTTTGTAAATAAGTTCACTGGTCCTGGAGCTGTTGCCTGTCATAGTGATTTACATTCAGTCTCTGTTACAGGTCCCATGAGTCTTGAGAGGCACTTAGTAGAGGGTTGTGAACCAAAAGTCATTTGTTCTGCATTTGCTGCCCTCTCGGGCCATTCTGACAGGGGGTTGTATTCTCATTACAACATGATCTCAAACATACGCCACCAGGTATGAACATTTATGTTACTTTTATGTTATTTTTATGTAAGCTTACATGTCCACACCAATTCACAGATGATAGATTTTGTCTTCCTTCATCATATCTGACAGTAATTTATGTGACACCTCAGATGCAAGACAAATCCTTTCTTGTTTCAGCTTTAGCTACTTCTTGAACTTTGCTTAAATTTGTCATGAAAACTATCCAGCTACAGTGTGGAAAACTGATCCTAGAGAAACAAAATTCAGCTCTCGGAATTTATTCCATGCCACGCGCATTTTGGAGCTCGGAGCAGCTCTGAATGGCTCTGAAATTTCTCCTCTGTTGTTTGTGAAACAGTGATAGTCTTCCCTCATCTGCCTTAGCTTACCACTCAATGATATAATTTCCTCAAAACAGATACATGAGTAGAATGAATGGTGCACAATCCAGCACCTACAGTAATATTACAGTGTTTGATCTTGTGACAGGTTTTTCAGAAACCATAATCATTTCATTGTTTCATTTATGTAACAGTTTTTTCCTTCCAGGATGTCATCAAATGTCTCATTAAATTTTACATAGAGATAGAACTCAGTATTTATGTCCAAAATGATTTGTTCATGTAGATATTTAACAGAGGATGCTTGAATGAAATCAGTGGAATTTTAAGTAAGCTGTCTCATGGTAACCGTCTAAGATTAGGAGAAAACACCGTTAAAAAAAGGTGTTCTGACTTGTATTTGAGAAGTACTGTATCCAGGTTGAATATCAGCCATGTTAAGGGCAGTCTGTTTGGGGTTTTTCACTTCTTTTCAGGCAGATACCAGGACAGTACCTTAAAATGGGCCAGACCCACTTCAGACATACCAATTCACCATACATATTCAGTGCCAGTAACATTTACAAGTGGCACAGCATTGTTAAATAACTCACAAACTAAGCAGTCATGTAATCTAATACAATCATAATATAGTCACGTGTTTTGCTACTGAAGACGCAGTTCAGATTTTTAATTTATTTATTTAAGAACCTTCAAATTGTAACTACAATTAATTATAACACAGTTGCAGGTTGACACAATTTATAAACTCTACACAATAATCTGTTCACTCTATCTTCAATAGTCTTCACTTATTCACAGTACAATATGGGAACTATACCAGTGTCACTGTATTACACACTCCCAATACCTTCTCACACTGTCACCTCTAATTACATGGTCTGGTCTTCTTCACGATTGACTCACTACAACTGAAGTCGGCAACTGCTACAATTCAACTGACTGCTTAGTCATTCCAGTTCTCTTATAAACCTTCAGCTGGACAGTGAAAAATGCACTTCTCTTCCCTGTTGCATAATCACTGTGTTTACAGGCATTGCTGGACAACGCTGCCCAGAGTTGTTTGTTGCTGCATAGCAGCCAGCTTGCTTCCGCTTGGCTCGGAGAAACACCGCTTTCCTTACTGTTGCGTAACTTGGCAACCGAACATTTATCAAGGGTCTGTCTTTGTGGTAACTTGATCCACCTCCCGTTGCCCAGCAACAATTAGACATCTAACAATATTATTGTTTTGCTGCATATACATTTCTACTGCATTTTTTTTAAATTGTTCATGATGAAGGGGCACAAAAAATATTGTGTTATGTCTTCCTTGTATATCATCATCGTTGGGAAAGTAAAAGTAATACATGAGCATGACTTTCACTGCTAAAAGATAAAAAGACAAAAAGACAAAGCTGTCTCTGTAAGAGGCCATGAAGACCTGTGAGAGCTCGAGACTTCCACATCTTCTAGACAGTCGGCTCAGTTGGCAGTAAGGTCAGCCTTATGTCGTGGCCACCCTTGCACCCCAGGAAAATTCCTGGTGCCCTTTCTGTTAAGAGGCCGAGGTGCCATAGCGGCTGGAAGGATTAGGTCAATTGAAAAATCCGGTGACTTCTTTGGGAATCAAACCCATGACCTCTGGCTTGTAGGATAGTGCCTCAACCAACTATGCTATCTCGTTCCCTTACTTTCACTGCATCACAGATATAAAAGATTATCAAGTAGAATGCAGGTTGTGTATCAGTTATCTTTACAAGCATATTCGTGAATAAAAACGGCATGTATGGACATACACACATTGTTCATGCGTCATCTGCGAGAAAAACTGTCAGAAGTTTGTTCTGAACATTACACTCATTCAGCATGGGCATCATTTGTCACATGTGCAATGTCGAAGTCATACTGTCTTCATACATGTACGCAGCAGCATGTTATTGTCATCTGTTGCAGTAACAGTTTGACTTATGTTTCACTGAGTTCCCAGTAGGTGGTGGTAGTATGCTGTAGCACGTAAATGTCAACTCTTGTAATAGCAGCTTGAATAGTGTTTCACTGTGTGAATCATCAGCTCAGATGCCGTGGCACAGTGCATGGAGTGGTTTATTGAAACAAACTTGGATACACGGGTAATACACTTCAGAGCAACATCTCACAAGGTACCACCATGAAGACCTTCAACGTGTGCTTATTACAGATAGTTTTAGGAGGATGGAAGTGTTTTGCACAAGAAAGGTGCATGGTGTCCAGTAGTGTTTGACAAAAATGTCGAAAGCATATGTAAGGTATGTCTGTGTAAGTTGACTCAACCTGCAGCTTGCAAGTTGCAAATGCTGTGTTAGACACTGCATCATGTGTTACAAGAATGTTTGTGTCTGAATGCTTACAAGTTGCAAGTGGTGTAGGCAATTACGCCCGATTACAGGACAGCCCATGCTGAAATTGCAGCAGTCATGCTTGAGAAACTGATGGAAACAGATTCCAAAGGGAAATAACGTTCACTGATCAAGCTACATTTCCTATTTCAGGGAAAGTAAACAAACTAAACGTACATATCTGGGGATCAGAAAAGTCTTATACTACAGTGGAGCCCATCAGTGACAGTCCCAGAGTTAATGTATGATGTGGCCTGTTGCACAATCATTTGGTCAAACCTTTTTTGTGTGCCAAAGTGACTGTGGCATCCAGCAGCTACCTCGAGATGCTGGAAGACTTTGTCTATCCACATATGCCGGAACTGCACTGTACGATGTTCTTCCAGTAAGGTGACACATAACACTGGAGTTTGATTATGCATGCATTTCATAATCAGCATTTCCCAAACTGATGGATTGACTGTTGATTCCATCTGTTGACCAACTGGATCACCAGATATCCCAGGGGATGTAGTTTGTACCAAAATGTGGCTACCAGCATTAACTATTAGAAGAGCAGAATTCCAGGTGTGGTTGCAGCAGTTGGCAGTGACATGCTGCAGCATTCGTAAATGGTGCTTGAATATCACTTTGGACATTGCACATGGGACAAATGGTGCCGATGTTGAATATGTGTAATGTTCAGAACAAAGTTTTGGAGTTTGGCTCACAGATGATGCACAAACAGTGTGCTTGTGTCTTTTATTCATGAATAACGTTATAAAGATAGTTTATATACCCTGTCCATTATTCATATCTCTTCACATTCCTCCTGATTCACTTTCCACAGCCATTTTGATGTCTTTGATTAGAAGATACATAAAGTGAGAAGTTAATATGGCATTATAAGCCAATGGTTCATTTAGCAAAGATTAGAAATTATTTAACTTCTAAAGGTTACTTATATGCGTCATAGTGGTATTTTAGTGACTAGTTTATTCTTGTTATCACAGGTTTTCACAGATGTGAAGGTGGTACCAATTGTGGAACTGAACAAAACTTACAATGGATATGCGTGGGATTTTTACAACCATGGAATTGTTGCTGCAATTATGAATGATAATGGCCTGAAACAAGGTG